TGATGATAAAATAATAATAAATAAGCAATAAATCTGAAAAAAAAAATGTTTTCTTAGGAACAATTTTGTCTCTTTGTCTCTCCACACTGAATGAATAACAAAAATAAATAACCTTTAGGCTAAAGTCTTCTCAAAACTACTGAAACAGTGTCTCAGTCATCAGGCAGTGAATTCATAACCATTTCCTGTAATAACTTCCTGTGAGGGAGCTTTTAGAGGTGGACGTCTGGTTCCTATCACCACCACTGTGAACAATTCTGACTCTAGAACAGAAAGTTAGACACCAAACTACTCTGAATGACTTTGTTTACATCTTTTCCATTTAATTATGCAAAAATTTGGTCATTCAGAACATAAACCTTTTTTCACCAGAAGTGTTTTTAAAGGCTTCCTGACTCATAATGTACTTTGGGATCTTTATGGTTTGTTATTGTTCAGTTAAGTTCATCTCAATTACATCTGTTACTTGATTAATCACCAAAATAACTGCTAGATTAATTGATTACTAACATAATTGATCGTTACAGCCCTACTGTGATCATAAAGAGTCAGTACAATGGTAAAGCTCTATATACTCTCTGTATCTGTAAGAATGGTAGAGAATGTGGTGAAATTTGGTAAAACTAAGTTCAGCGTGTGGTGAGATCGTCTGCTGTACTGGCTGAGTTTCTGTTTGAGCTTTTAGGTTTCAGAGAAGCTGCATGCACACACACGCCAGAGAGATCCGTCTCCAAACCTGCCTGCCTTCGCTCTAATAATGAGACCGGATTAGCAGCCAAACCCATTTCATTCACATTCACAAACACTGCTAACTCACTCATACCACACTGTGATATACTGCAGTAGTGCAGAGCGGGACAGGAACTAACACAGGGTAAAATGTAACATGGACTTTTTATGTTGCTGGGTTCAGTTAGAATGTGCTTTACAGCAATGGGACAGATATTTCTCAAGATTTTCCCCCGAAAGACACCCTGAGATTTACCCTGAAGATATTTTTGTACTATAAAAGTAACTCTTTTCATCATTTTATTTCGATTACTGGATTGTGGGTAAGTCACAGAATCCGCTCCTATAAAATCCAGTCTCCCTCCTAGTGGCTGTAAAATAGCACCATTTTGAAATGTCCCAGACAACAAATGTACACTGTGCCTGATTATGGCCAAATGTAGTGCTGTATCCAGTCCGGATCCGCAAAGCAGTGCTGGCCCAGTGTCTTTTTGCACAATGGCCCAATACCGGAACTGATCTGTTTTATGCATCTGTGCCAAAACAGATCAAAAACAGGCCCAGACGAGGAAAAAACAGCGTTACATCCGGCTCGGAACTGGCGCAGGTCTATATATTATCTTCATCTCTGGCCCAAATGTGGCATGGATCCAGTTCAGAAGAGGTTCAAGCTCAAGTTGATACAAGCAGCTCTCTCAGTGAGAGCTAGCGAAGCTAAAGTACAGCCTCCACACAGTGGGTTAGTTTAACCCCAATAAAATCCCAGGCTTATTACATACTAAGGCTTGTTATTCAGTAACTACCTCAATGCAAACTAGCTGTTCTTAGGTTATGTAAGTATGTAATGAAACTTTGGGCCTGTCGGCGGGTCCTGGCCATGTAAGGGATTACTATGACCCCAAATAAACAATGAAGGAAGTGACATGCATACACACTTATACATTCAGAACTGTTTAATTTTTGGAATCAAAAACTGCCACATTTGAGAGCTCCTGGTTAATCATATATATTTTGTTGCATATATTTTTATGTATTCAAACTGTAAAAAAATGTTGTTTTGACTTAAAAAGTTAGCATCTTTGCCGCCTTAAATTTGTGAGTTAATTGAATTTTGAATAGTAAGTCAACAGAACAGGAATCTGTTTATTTACACCCTGTCAACTTATTAAATGAAGTTCAGATGACTCAACATTTTAAAGCAGGCCAGACATAAACTTATTTAAGTTAAAATTCCCCTGTTTTGTGTATTTACAGTGCAGGTTGGAAGCTTATTTTGGTTCAAACAACTTGTGAAATATATTGTACTGATTTAGAATTAAATGGCTGCATCAGTTTACAATAAAATGTGTTTTGCATTAGTTTACCAGACTTAGTGACTGTCACAACTTGCCCTTCTGTCTGTTACAGTTCACCCCACCTATTGGGTAAGTTGTAGCATTTCCACTCAAGCTGAATTGTTCATATACAGTAGATACAGCTGTATACAAAAGTTTGGGCATCCCCTTCAAATGACATTTTGTTGATTTTCTAAGTGAAAATAAGTAAACACATCTCCACAGAGAACAAACATCTGCACAATTTAATGCACAATTACTGTTTATTTACTGAATTTAACATGCTGGGAAAAAATATAACAAAAAAGTGGCCTGTGCAAAAGTTATGGCATATATTTTTATTTTTTTCCAATTTGATAAACTCAAATAAATAGAAATTGTGCACTTAAATTTGCAAAAAATCCCATATTTAAGTGTATTCCCCGTAGAAAATGTGTTTCACTTGGAAAATCAACAAAGCATGTTATTTGTCCAGGGGTGTTCAAGCTTTTGCATATGACTGTATGTGAAACAAAGTTTACATTTCCATTTGGAGCAGAGATGTGTCAGTTGCTGGTATAAAAATTATTAAACTTGCTCAAATACTTTTAAAATTTAATAAAATTCAAAAGTGTCGGGCCCTGTTCACACAAATTACAACATATTGCTGCTGTTGGAAGAAAACCTTGTATCTCCATTTTATTGTTTTTCAGTTTTACATTTTTGTGTACTCTTTACATTGTGTGTAAATTTCATAAAGAATGGACCAAAAGAAACGGCCCAAAATGACTTGGAAAAAAATTGTTTCCATTGACTTACATTAAAAGTAAAATAGGTTTTTTCCTTCTCCTCTTGTTACCAAAAGTTACCATTTTGGAGGTACAAAGTTTTGTTCTGACAGCAGCTATATTTGAGTTATATTTAGATTATGTCATCATGTTGCAACATATTCAGTTTCCATATGCACAACTATACAGAGATCACAGTCGATTTCTCACTCACTCCCTCTCTCTCTCACACACCCTCCCCGCCTCAGTGACAGTTCGCGAGAAACAGGAAGGGTGTGTGTGTGTATGTGTGTGTGTGTGTGTGTGTGTGTGTGTGTGTGTGTGTCTGTTCTTGCAGTGAAGTTTACTCACTTGTCTGCTGCTCCGTTCCTACATGAATATTTGACTATTAATTAGAGCCATTTAAACAAGGCAGATACTGTCAGCTACACTTTAATGAGAAAGTCTTCAGGAACCTCGTATAACCAGTTTACACACAGTACACACACACACACTCCCTCACACACACACACACACACACACACACTCCCTCACACACACACATACACAAACTGGCGTGAACCAGCCTTCACACATAACACACCCAAGCATGTTTGAACACTTGTAAAAAAAATATGCATGCTAACAAGAACAGAGCCTTCCCCACATCACACACACACACACACACACACACACACACACACACACATACACACACCACCACACCACCACACGCACCACACACATACACACACACACACACACACGCACACACACGCGCACACACACACACACACACACACGCACACACACACACACACAGATGGGAGATAAGCAAGTCATACTGAGGTCCTGAGGCAGAGCATCATAAGACTAGCTAACTGAGGTCAATCAGAAGGGCTTTTATTGTCAGTGCACCTCAGTCAGCTAACCCCTCAAACCGCAGGACTGATATTCAGTTATTATTCTCCAGCTACAGATTATTCACTGTCTACTGTAAATTATTCACTGTCTACTATAAACTATTCAGTATCTACTGTAAACTATTCAGTATCTACTGTAAACTATTCAGTAAATTCTAAAAAGTATTCATATCTACTAAAAACTATTCAGTATCTACTATAAACTATTTAGTATCTACTGCAAGTTATTCAGTAAATTCTAGCAAGTATTCATATCTAATATAAACTATTCAGTATCTACTGTAAACTATTCAGTATCTACCATAAATTATTCAGTATCTACTGTAAATTATTCAGTATCTACTGTATATTATTCAGTAAATTCTAGGAAGTATTCATATCTACCATAAATTATTCAGTATCTACTATAAACTATTCAGTATCTACTGTGAATTATTCAGTATCTACTGTAAATTATTCAATATCTACTGTGAATTATTCAGTATCTACTGTAAACTATTCAGTATCTACTATAAACTATTCAGTATCTACTATAAATGATTCAGTATCTACTATAAATTATTCAGTAACTACTATAAACTATTCAGTATCTACTATGAAGCTAATGTATAAATTCTGTATGGGAGTGAGGAACTCAATGCATCAGTGTATCACAGTGTATACATTTGAAGGTGGCGATTCATTTGTCAAACTGAATAGATTAAGAATCAATATTAGAATAGAATCAATATTCAATAATGTATTCACTCACTGTTTGGCCAAAATAAAATTCTCTGGCTGTTTTAGGGCTTTTTAAAACACTCATATTCCAGTACTGATTATTTATCTGTTATATATGCTGTTTAGATATATTTTAAATTAAATCATTAAGAGACAGATTTATCTCGGTTAATGACTTAAGTGCACTGCATTAAATGCCTTAAGCACCCTTCTTAGTAAAAAGTTTTACTTGAGTTTTTTGCAGCTGTCCAGAGGTTTGTGCTGCAGTAACAGCCTCTACTCTTCCGGGAAGGCTTTACACTAGATGTTGAACATTGCTGTGAGGATTTGAATGAGCATTAGTGAGGTCAGGTACTGATGTTGGATGGTCAGTTCTAGCCCACATTTGGCATTGAATATGGTGACCTTAGGTTTGTATGCAGCTGCTCCAGAGTGTCCCATTCTTTTGGCCAATGCTTTCCTATGGAGATAATACAAGCTATATGTATTCACTAATTAGAAGGTCTGTATAGATACTTAATGTAGTATTTTCTCTGTCCTTTCTCCAGGTGATGACCCACTAGGTCTTCAGTGTCCTGCGCTCACAGACCCCTGCCCTACACACACCCACACAGATTCGAAATGGCCGCCACCAAGAGCGGCTACGAGGGGAAGATAGCTGGCCTGTACGATCTGGACCGGACGCTGGGCAAAGGTCACTTCGCTGTGGTCAAACTGGCAAGGCACGTTTTCACCGGCCAGCTGGTGGCTGTAAAAGTGATCGATAAGACGAAGTTGGACGCACTGGCCATGGGCCACCTGCTGCAGGAGGTCCGCTGCATGAAGCTGGTGCAGCACCCCAACGTGGTGCGACTGTACGAGGTGATTGACACGCACTCCAAACTCTACCTGATCCTGGAGCTGGGCGACGGCGGCGACATGTACGACTACATCCTGCGCCACGAGGGTGGCGTCGCCGAGGAAACGACCAAGGTCCACTTTGCCCAGATCGTCCGGGCCATCGCGTACTGCCACTGCCTCCACGTGGTCCACAGGGACCTGAAGCCGGAGAACGTGGTGTTCTTTAGACAGCAAGGAACTGTCAAACTGACCGATTTCGGCTTCAGTAACCACTTCCAGCCCGGCACCATGCTGATGACCAGCTGCGGATCGCTCGCTTATTCAGCTCCAGAGATACTGCTGGGGGAGGAGTACGACGCACCAGCCGTGGGTAAGTTTACATGTGCATGTGGATAAATTCTAACCTGATTTACACTCAACAATAATGTGCCAAGATGGTTGTTTGAGTTACAAATTGAAAATATGTCAACATTAAATATATTAAGTAACAAAGTCTGTATGTGTGGATACCATTTGACTGAATGTAAACATGTAGCACAATTAATACATAATTAATAACCAATAAGTTCAAACATTTGGGTGTATTTATGTCAATTTAATTTAAATCTTTTGTACTTCATCAATCTGAGCATCTATGACTACCTTAGAGAGACTACAGACCATCTGTAGACGACCTTATAGAAGTTCACATAGAACTAACTGTTATATTGTATATAAGCTTATAGTATAGGTATATAAAATTTACAGTACTGTGCAAAAGTCAGATACCACCCATTATTTATTTAATTTCCTGTCAAAACGGTCAGTACAAGTCATTTTTCAGTAGATATTTCTGAGGCGTATTATATTATATATGAGATAATCCACCTGCATAAGGAAGAAGAAAGTCAAAGGAAAATAAATGAAAAACAGGAGTTTTGAAAATGGCCAAAAGCTACAGAGAAAATGAGGCCCTAACAATCACCTGGAAGACCTGCTAGACACCGAAACTCTCCCCATCAGATAAACAGCACTTAAAGCTTTCATCTTTGAGAGAGAGGAGAAAATCAAGCTGCTTCAGATCTGAAAACATCCACAGGTGTTTCTGTCCATCCTTCCACTGTGAGAAGACGACTCAGCGCTGTGGGTCTGAAAGGATGTGTAGCTGTCAAGAAGAACCTCACTGAGAAAAGGAGACGGACACATCAAACAAAGAAGCTGAACAATGGACTGACCACCCCAGAGTCCAGACCTCAACATCACTGAATGTGTTTGATTACTTCAGAAAATGATCAACCAGCTTCTAAGACTGAACTTTGGAGGTGTGTCTGCAGATTCTTTGAGGAACTGAAAGTGAGTCTCCTGAAAAGAATGGGAGCTGGAATAAAGGTGAGGAGTGACACATTGAATGCCGAAAACAGTACACATTATGTATTATATTTAGTTGTTGATGCTCCTGTGTAACTTTCTGTTAAATATAATATTTCTGCATTTTTTCCTGACACTGAAAAATGAATAAGTTGTACTTAATGGCCGTTTTGACTAGAAATTGTTGGTTTCTGACCTTTACACAGTACTGTATGGTGGTTTTGTTTCAAAGACTACACAAAGACACTCGTATTCGAGCACTGCTGCACTAACAGGACAGTGAAAAAAGCAAATCCTGACAGTTTCACACTCAACTCATCACTTTTGAGAAATGACACATCAGCAGCTCAGCCAACAGACGCAGCCAAAGCTAAATAATACTGCTCACATCTGCATTTAGTCCTTTGTCTCTTCTGCAAAAGCATATACAGTCAGATTAAGGCAAAGTAGTAGAACAGTACATATAGAATCTGATATGATTCATAATCTAAATGACAGCAGTTTTATCCCAGCTTGACTGATTATTGTTTACTAGTTCAGTAAATCCTCTCTCGCAGCTCCACAATCACTATTCCTGGATTCAGTTGGTTTGTATGAGTGTGTTTTGGTCATTCAGCAGCTGGGACAGTAATCTGTGATGTGGCAGAGACTAATCCAGACTCAGATTAAATCCTACTGACTGAAACACAAACACTGCCTCTGAGTCACAGGGACGCTGAGTTCACTCCCTATCTATCTATCTATCTATCTATCTATCTATCTATCTCTATCTATCTATCTGTCTGTCTGTCTGTCTGTCTATCTATCTGTCTGTCTGTCTGTCTATCTATCTGTCTATCTATCTCTATCTATCTGTGTCTACCTAACTGTCTGTCTGTCTATTTATCTATCTGTCTATCTATTTATCTATCTACTCACACATTTTCATTATCTCTCTTTCACATTATCTCTCTTTACTCTCTCTATTCTCTTTATCTCTCCACCTTATCTTTCTCTATCCTTCTGTCCCTCCTGGTGGTCCTGTTGTTGTTTTAATCGCGTGTGTTCTGTCTGGCGGTGATTTTTCTCTCTGAATGGACACATCTGTGGACAGATGGAGCCAGAGTTCAGACCCAAACATGACCTACAAACAAAACACCTGAACCGGCCTCACATGAGCCCTGCACTTCCGGGCGAGGAGGCACGTAGGGTGTTGGAGGTCAGCAGGCGGCCGAATACTATATCATTATATACGGAATATACACTCACTGAGCACTTTATTAGGAACATCTCCTTGCATCTACACTCACTGTCCATTTTATCAGCTCCACTGATCATACAGAAGCACTTTGTAGTTCTACAATTACAGACTGTAGTCCATCTGTTTCTCTGCATACTTTTTAGCCCCCCCTTTTTTACCCTGTTTTCTCAATGGCCAGGACCCCCACAGGATCACCACAGAGCAGGTACTATTTGGGTGGTGGGTCATTCTCAGCACTGCAGTAACACTGACATGGTGGTGTGTGTTAGTGTGTGTTGTGCTGGTACGAGTGGATCAGACACAGCAGTGCTGCTGGAGTTTTTAAACACTGTGTCCACTTACTGTCCACTCTATTAGATACTCCTACCTTGTCGGTCCACCTTGTAGATGTAAAGTCAGAGACGATAGCTCATCTGCTGCTGCACAGTTTGTGTTGGTCATCCTCTAGTCCGTCATCAGTGGTCACAGGACGCTGTTGGCTGGATGTTTTTGGTTCTCAGTCCAGCAGCGACGCTGAGGTGTTTAAAAACTCCAGCAGCACTGCTGTGTCTGATCCACTCGCACCAGCGCAACACACACTAACATGCCACCACCACGTCAGCGTCACTGCACTAGCCACTGATGTACAGGCTAATAAGCACATCAGTGCTTGCTAGCATTAGCGGTATAGCTCAGTCGCACTGGTCTTGGAACAAGATTAACAAGAGTTAATCATTTAAAAAACAAAAAGTATTTAGCTCTGGAAAGGATACACAGCGTAGAATACATGATTTGCCTTTTAGCTAGTGAAAAGCTGCGTGGCTAATTTGTTAGCTTTACCTTTTAGTTTGTCATCACTCATCTACGTCATTTATGTTGCTCTACTAACATTCGTTCCTTCTCTCCACTTTAATGATGACTTGAAGACAGAAAACTTACACAAATGCAGGAAGATATTTGGTGTCCTGGTTGTAGCTCCCTGGCTTCTGTAAACATCAGGGGTCACAACCCAAATGTTAAAATGTTCACTTTTGTGTTTTTACTGTTTTTTTGGTTAAGTTAGCCAGTTTGCCAACTCATAGCTTTAGCCTAACGGCTGTAGCGAGTTAAAATGTCAAACAGCCCACTGTGGGGTAAATGCTGACTGTTGTTTGGTGGTGTAACGTGGTTCACCGTTCAGCCAGTCTGACTGCTTTCAGTAGTTACAGCACCGTGTCTGTAGCGACAGCAGCAGCCAGAACGCTAATAACACATAGAACCTCTTTCTGTTCTTTCTTAATAGTTCCCTTCATCAGTAATCTGGTCCAGTCTAGCCAGACTACTGGGGGGACAGTCAGAGAGAGGTGAAGAAAGAAACAGAGAGAGAGAGAGAGAGAGAGAGAGAGAGAGACATGAAGGGCAGACAAAGAGAAAGGACACTTGTGCTTAACACACTGACTCAGAAAGGAGGATGAGGAGGACTCTCTCACTCTCTCTCACTCTCTCTCTCTCTCTCTCTCTTTCTCTCTCACCCCTCATTCTCTATCTCTCTCCATCTCTCTGTCTCCATCACCCTCTTTCTACATCTCTCTCTCTCTTTTTCTGTCCTTCTCCCTCCCATCTCTGTCTCTTTTCTGGCTCTCCCTCTCTATTTCTCTCTCCACTACTCACACAATCTCTTTCTTCTTCTTTTTGCATTTCTTTCTTTCTTTCTTTCTTTCTTTCTGTTTCTCTTTGCTCTCTGCATTCTCTCTCTCTCCCTCCCTCTCTCTCTTTAGTTTCTCTCTCTCTCTCTCTCTATCACTTTCTCTGCACTGTTCATTTGTAATCTCTCATCCTCATTTGGCCTGTCTTTCTCTCTCTTCCTCTTTTGCTCTCTATATCTTTCTTCCTGTTTCTGTTCTCTCTCTCCATCTCTGTCTCTATTTCCATCTCTCCATCTCTCTCCATCTCTCTCTCCCTCCCCATCTCCCTCCATGTCTTTCCATCTCTCTCTCTGATTCCAGGTCAGTGTGTGTGTGTGTGTGTGTCCTCTGTGAATCTGCTTCATTGTGTGTTTGTGTTCTTCTGTTATTAATATCACAGTTTTTCTCGTCTGTTCTGCTCAGAGCGACATGTGACAGTGTGTCGGTAGAGCTCACAGTGGGACTGTATGAGGCGGATTAGAGCCCAGCAAAGTGGGTCAGCGCACACACACACACACACACACACACACACACGGGTGTGCAGCAGATAAGTGTTTTGGCACGTGTCCCCGCCCGCTGATGCTGTGTGACCTGCAGGATGGTCTCACCTTGCCCTTGCATATGTGCAGTAAAGTGGGGCAGCAGGGAGACTCCGGGGGGGTAACTCAAGCTGCTCTAAAGCTCTGATACACACACTGACCCGGGGCAGCTTTTTTTCAATGACCTGCACCTTGCAGCGGTTCTGAAAACACACCTGTACATACATAAACATAATCATATCTCCAAAAACATAACTTTACAGAAGAAGAAGAAACTGTTCAATTAACTTTTTTTTCCCCCAATTTTCTCCCCAATTTAGTCATTTCCAATTCCACCCACTAGTTAGGACTCCCCCAATCACAAGATACCACCAGCGCTAGGAGGGCGAAGGCAAACACAGGCTTCCTCTGAGACCTGTGAAGCGCCACCACATCTTTTTTAACTGCCGCTCACACAGTGTCACTGTCCTACCCACCCAGAGAGAGAGGCCAATTGTGCTGTCTTGAACTCCCATATGGCTGTAGCATCACTCAGGAGCTGTTAAATGAACTTTTAATGTAAGTTAATGTAACAAGATTTTAATTAGTAATTTTGAGCCAT